CGTTGGGTCGTATACTTGTCAATGCAATCCAAATTACCATGGAGACGGACACTCATGTGCAAGAGGTAAAGTATTATGATATGGATATTTATCGACTATTTCACACATTTGTAATACCTCTTGGATATTCCATATATTAAAAAAATGTAATTTAATTTTAATAGTTAATTTGCTTCCATGGTTAATCATACGATATAAAAAGAATATTAGATGGTTGCTTGAAGAGTTTTTCATTTTCGTTGCTTTTAACCGAGATCTTTTAAACAGCTAAATATAAAATCCATTATAAAATCCATTTATCAGGTAATTATATATGAAACACCTATATTTCTGTCAATCGTAAGATCATTTTTCACTAGTGTAAAAATGAAGAATTAAGATACTAGTGATTCATACTAAATGACAATTATATTAAATCGATTGTACATTTTGGAAGCTGACTCAAGGTTCATGTGCAGCAGATCTTTGCCAAAAAATGTCCAAGATTATAAAGTTAGCTTAGCTTGTAAGGTTAATATAAAACACCCGAAACAAAGAGAATTAACAAATCATCCAAGACCGTAAGCGAGCATAGCGAGACAAAACAAAAACAAAAACAAAAAAACAAACGAGCTAAAACAAACCCTGCTTTCCTTGTTTAGGAAAATATGATTCATTTCATTCGTAGTAATAAACAATAACCTTTACGATTGAATGACGATATGCATGCCGCCTCGTCTTGATTAATTATTTTGTGTTAAACTAATGAAATTCGCAGATTGACATGTACGACCGAGTTGGGAGTACCCCCTTATCCTTGTCGATCTCACATGTAACTTTGAAATCAATAATGCAGCTCACCCTCTTGAGCTTGAGATCAATTTTGWGTGTGCATTCATTAAGCATGAGCATTTTCGGTCATGAAGTGTTTGGCTTTTAATTGTCAACTTTGTTTTAGATTTTTTCGCTGTATTATAGAGATTATTTACGCTTGTACATAACATTGTTTAATTTCAGTTGAACTTAAGGATTCCATTATTCTCCGTGACTATGGCAACAACAACTATCTGCAGCAGCTGTCCAGTTATCTGAGTCCTGTTCTTCAAGATTCAAGTAGAAGTCGTTGGATAAGATGTTGGAGAGCTGCTAGCGATGGATGGGATGTGGATTATACATTCCACCCCCAGTGTGACAACAAAGGACCAACAGTTACCATTGTTCGTGTTGGTAGTTACATCTTTGGTGGCTATTCTGATGTATCATGGGACAGTAAGTATTTCAAAAATACATATATCTACACTGCGTCTCTGTATAAACATTCAGCTACGGACCTGTTATCAAAACATTAACGAAGTATTGCTATTTATCATCGGTTTTNAATACCAGATCGTTTTTGTTATTATACAGAATACTACGATGGAAACATTCCGTGTTTGTCTTAAAGAGCTGTACTCGGACCGTTATGATCCTGTCACCCTGCAGTACGTGGTTGTATCAGGTATTTCATTTTGCTCAATAAGAACTACTCATTTAACTAATTGAGACGAGAAGTATTATTTTGGCAGCGTTTATTGTTTCGTGAAAACATTCCATGCATTGGCAAGGTGAATGCTTTCAAGATGCACTCACATCTAGACTACTACAATTGTTCTTAGTTTTAGATATGTGTGGAAAAGACTGGAACTACTTCAATGGCTTCTGCTACAAGACCACCTCTTCCTGTGCCTCTTGGAATGCAGCTCAGTCCAACTGTCTTGAAGTTAACTCTAATCTGACCAGTGTAACCAGCCAGGAAGAAAACACGTACATTCAACATCGTCACGGCGGTGATACAGGATGGATAGGACTACAAGACATTGACAGTGAAGGAAACTTTACCTGGATTGACGGTACAAATGTCAACTTTACGTACTGGGCGAAGAACCAACCAAACGGTTACCCTGGAGACCAGGATTGTGTTCATACACTGGGATTACGTCATGACTATCACTGGAATGACGTCACATGTGGGTCTTGCCACGCCTACACGTGCAAACGAGGTACATTTTATATTATTATTTATAGCTTGTTGCCCTAGAGCACTATTTCAAGTGCTTGACATAGTTTCACACTAACACCATTCATTCACAGTACAGGATTGATTAAAAATCTTTCAATGTTACCTAATGTCTATTGTTTTCTGTTTCAGATATTGATGAATGTTCTGCGGAATACCACATGTGTGATGTGAATGCACAATGTATCAATACTGATGGTTCGTACACTTGTACTTGTAAATCTGGCTATAATGGCGATGGAATGACATGCTCAGGTACTTTATCATCTTATATAACAAATGAAACTATATAACTAGAACAAAAGTGTTTTTAGGAATCTGGAGGAGGGAAAATGGAGATCAAAGAGTTAGAGAAAAGTCCTCAGAGAAAGAGAGAGAAAGAAAAAAGTTTAATGTTCACACCAATTAGAGTGTGCCCACATTCGGGATCTCAAGGATATCAATTAATTTCATGTTTCTTCTTTTACCTTCTTTGAAAATTGAGAAAATTTGCATATCAGCATAAATCTTATTTCATCCATAGATCATAAAGGCTTAGAGAATTCTATTATTCTCCGTGACTATGGCAACAACAATTATCTGCAGCAGCTGTCCAGTTATCTGAGTCCTGTTCTTCAAGATTCAAGTAGAAGTCGTTGGATAAGATGTTGGAGAGCTGCTAGCGATGGATGGGATGTGGATTATACATTCCACCCCCAGTGTGACAACAAAGGACCGACAGTTACCATTGTTCGTGTTGGTAGTTACATCTTTNTCGGACAAATTCTAGCCGATTAAATTATGAATCTCACACGATTGAATGACCAAATTTCCCCTCTAGCCGGGTTAGAGTGGGGTGTATTGCTTTATCAAAGATTTCGTGTTGTCAACCACAGTATCTTACGTCGTATATCTTGTGGCTTTCGAAAATCTGTTTCGATTCCTCCTAATTTGACTCAAAAGACAACTGTGTATAATACAAATCAAATGACGTCGACTTTGGGGAAATGGGATGCAATTTGATTAAGCAATATGTAAGTCAAATATAGACAAACAAACTTTTTACAAAATTTATAAATTTTCTTGATTTGGTTTTGGTTTGTTGTCAGATTTGTTTTTCTCAATATTGTTTTGTTAACAGCTCGCGTACATAACCGGCTTTTCGTGGTAAAACCGACAAAAAAACAAAACAAATTTATTTACCGCTGTTTACTCATCATCAAAATTTTTTATTTATCCAATCTATTTTGCAATATTTTAGTCTTCTAGCATAATTTTCACAAATGTGTACAAATTTATTGATATTGTAACAATTTATTTTTGGGTGACATCTTGAAAGGTCATAATGACAGGATGTCATTTTGGTAGCCTAGTAATCTAGCGCATGCCCGTGAGAGGCTTACTTTATGAAGTATCTGATAGAAGGGAAAGCAATTTATTGATTTGCTTACAGGTTCAAGCGGCTACTCGTACGCCTCCAACGCTTTCCTGTTCACACTGTACAATACATATGGCTACTATCCTATCAAGTTACCTCAAGTACGATATAAACAGTATGCTATATATAGTAACAGTGGTTATGGCCCTACATTCGGTTGGGGACCTGACATTTACATATCTAACCATGCATCAAGTAACGGTAATAGCTATCTTTATACGGAAACATACAACGCCCCGCCTGGCTGCAGCACCTCTAGTTACTGCTTGTTCTACACAGGCAACGGTCAATTTACACCGAGTGACGTCGAGGTTTTCTATGAAACCACCAACTAGTAATGAAAGTTTTTAAACTTTAAAAGGCCAAAAAACCTTAAGTAGTCGTATTCGTTGCATTCTCTTAAAATTGGAGCCGTAAACTTTCAGTAAAGACAAAATGAAATATTCCAGTTTGTACTGGCGCATTTTGTTCACGTATAGCTACGTATCCGCTTTAAAGGAATCTATAAATGATATCAGTAATAGGTGTGTTACTTAACAAATAAATAAGGCTCAGCCGTGGTTTATACTCTCATAAACCACACTTTTTTGGCCAATCAGAGCACCCGTTAGAAATCATCTATATAATAAAGTATAATAAAGAAGTCATTCGAAATGAAAAAGGCGAAATGAATGCCCTGTTATGCATGAATACAGGTCTGGTAGTTTGTAATAGTGTTAATGACATGATTTGTGAAGCTATTTTAAACAATAAACATTTTATTTTACCTCTTTCTTGTAACGATTTTTKGTTAGATTTGTGATGTMAWTTATCGGCAGCACTGTAGCCTCCTTTAGCAGYCGCCTCTCTGTCTTGTCACACTGTAAAAACAATAAATTTTCTTAGTTTACTAATGACCACATTACAAGAGAATACCAGCGCATTACCGGGTGAACCCGTAAAGGTTGAAATTCCCGAGGTTAATATTCTAATTTTAGTTTCTGTCTGCATTAAATAAATATACAAATGAGAAAACGCACTCGTTTGAAATAAAATAATGGCTTAAAGCATTGCAAAAATAAATAAGTAAAAATCAGCAAAACTGAAAAAAGTAAATTTAAAACAAAAGAATTGAGACGTGTTCAGTTTAAAGGTATTTATAACAATTTTCCCTAAATGCAGTAAACGCTTTTGCGACCTTTAACATGCAAACTATTGTCCTGCATAGGGAMTAGTTGACCTTATGTTGTGCTAACATTCTTAAAGACGGAAGTCTAACGTGTATGTTCCGTACTGTGTAATTTACAGGCAAATGCAACATTTCCTTAAAATGGATTCTTTAATTGCATGAATCATATATTGTCTTAAAGTTTTGAAAGTTTTGAAAAGTTGTAAGATTGTGCGAAAACGCATTTTCTTCTGTAACAAAGGAACTATTATTTTCAAATAATCTCTTGACTGTAGACAGATTTTTATCTTAAAACTATGCTTTTGGTAACGTAAGGCAAATGCACTATATGATGGACTCCCACATTCTCCTTGCGCTTATTAACAAAATATATTTCTTTATTAAGGAGATTTTAACTTTGGATCAATTTGCCTTGATCAGATATCAAATTCTTACTTACTGTTTTGGTAAAACGATTAAGCTAAAGTTCGAAGAAAACACGATTTGATCAAATATGTTTAAAGCCAAGACAGTCACTATGTAARGGCGTTACTACGAGGTACTGTTTCAGTTGCTACAAGTCGTCGTGACGAGTGGAATAGGAAAAAATGATGTTCTCGCAAGTCGTGTTGTTGTTTTTATCGGTTCTCGTCGCTACTGAAGGTAAGTAACACCATTTTGGTTTATTTTTTATTTTTTTTGTTTTATTCCTAACAAAACAATTTTGGGTAGTCAAAAGCGTACAGTGTGCAAAAATATGCATTTAATTTGTGTTTCTCTCTAATAAGTTCACATCAAAGCATTCTGCCAAAGCACAAAAATAGTTTTATCTAATTAGAAGAGCCTGTTAAACTGATTTAACTCTCTTCATTTCATTCTAGGTGTGCAGCATGGAACTCCTCGCATCGGGCAAAAAAACGCAGACAATTACTACTGCGATACTATCACCTTCCCAACAACCTTCACGGGAGTTGATCCTGTCAAAGTCTTTACGTCAGTTGGTTTTGGCACGAGCTCATCACGTGTACATGACGTAGTGTTCACGTGGGTTGAGTCTGTCACTACAAGTAGTTTTAAAGTCTGTCTGGTAGAGAATGGCGCTGGATCAAGTGGTAATGTGACTATTAATTGGATGGCTTACCAAGGCGTGCAGTCTGGTGTGACGGACGGCTCTGTGAGGTTCAACGACTGGACGACGGGAACGGAGTGCAAACAAGTTCGTCTTTCCCAGGTAAGTGATTTTTTTTCCATTTTTTTATTCACGTTTACATTGTTTAATTTTTGCAATTTTATTTATTTTAATTTTATTTTTGTGTTTTGTTTTGTTTTGTTTTGTTGTTGTTATTGTTGTTGTTGTTGTTTTTTGTTTTTGTTTTTGCTGTTAACATTGCTTCATGTTTCTTATTAGTATTTTTTTTTCTGGCACCTATTTTTTCTCTCGATCAATTAAGCGATAAAATTTTGTCCTTATGAACATTCTACCAATTCTTTCTATTCCATTTTTTTCTAAATTATTTTAATCTGCATTCCTTTAAACTCTGTTCTTTCTTTTTTCTCTTATTTTTCTGCTTTTTTTGTTTTTCTTATTCTTTAATTTAAGCATTCTTTCTCGTTTTTCTACTTTCTGTTTCTGTACATTTTTTGTCCTCTTTTTGTAGAACTGCAGATTGATTGTATTTCCCTTTTTATTTGTTGATAACTTCCTTCTTTTTTGTTTCAATAGACTTGTCTTCTCAATTTCTTTTATCTAAAAAAGCAGTCCTTGTTTATTGCCCCATCTCTCTTCTCTTTCATTCTTTCTTCTCTCAACTCATTCTTCTGTTCTCCATTAGTCTTTTCCAAGTGTTCCTCATGTCTTCGTTACTGCACATCACAATGTGTTGGACAACAAGCATGATGCAGCTACAGTTTGGGTGGAAGGAATCACCACAAACGATTTCATTGTTTGTATGAGAGAAGCAAGAACCTTTGATGGACGCCATAAGGACATCGATGTGGTACGGTATTGTGGACATATGTCATTCCACATTAGCAACATAATTTAAAATTGTA